AATATTTAAAGGCAGCAAAACAGCATACCTTTAGAATTTCCGGTACACAGTCTCGTGCGCTGGAGATTAAAAATTGTTTCTGTACAGTGTTGCTATTGCTCGCTTTGAAATCGTTTCATTTGTTAATCAAAAATTCTTTTAAGTTTTACAAAATTTTAAATAGATAATAAAATAAATTAGAAATTCAAAATTCTGGCTTCCAGGTGGTCATGTTCGGTTGAAAGACTACGTTATTCAAAATTCGATGGGCCTAGCTACCGTTGTTTTTACTTCCTTGTACGAAGTAAAAGGGAAGTATTGTAATCGCGAAAAGTTTCAGGCAGCATATTTCAACAAAAATATCCATTTTGACTGTAATCGAATGCAATTTAACGATGTTTTTGCGTGCTATCTGTACGTAAGGACAGAATAAAACACTCTTTTCCTTCAAAAAAATTATAAAACTGCTTTAAAATGAATTCTGAAGAGAATTTTTCATGGCGTCTGTACGAACGTACGTAGGTACGTACGTATCTCGCATAACTCAAAAACGAGTAGCCTCAGAACGTTGAAATTTTGTATATAGGACTGCTTTAACATGTAGATGTGCACCTCGTATTTTGGTCGCAATCGGCCGCACCAAAAGTATATAAATATATTTATATATATATATCCACTCTGTTACCTCGGCTCAGTGATCTGTTTCAGTTTTTTACTTCTTATATGTTTGTAAATTGTACATTTTTTGCTTTAAAAAAAATGATTGAATTATGTTTTTTTTTCTTATCTTACGGTTTAAGGTTTTTATGCCTTTAGTAAATCTCTATGCAATATTTTAGAATTATCAACAATTTTAAAAGTTGTTTAAGTGCCGCTAAGCCTAAAACTTCTCTTGATGGCGGCAATTATTTGTTTACATTTGAAACAGCAGGATAGTGGATTTGTTGCCAATCTAGAGAAACTTAGCTTCGCAACAACAAAGATAACGCCTTCATTTATTATTGCCAATTAAATCATGCTTAATCCTTTCTGGAATTTTTTCGAGGAAATAAGTGTTTAAGATTTACTTCGTAATTTTTAATATAGATATTTTGAGCTTTTATGTATTTTTGCCTTCTCGCGAAGTGAGAACTTAATTAATTGAATGAGAAATACTCAATCGTCTGTGAAAAACTGTTTCTTTTTTCTTTTGTTTACTTAATTTCTTTTATACATCATTCTAGCTTTATTATAGTATTTGAATAGAACATGTGGCAACGATTAGATAATTTGATTCTTTAAATGATATAAATTTTGTGCATTATGAGTTATAATATGAACGAAATAAAACACTGTTAAACGCCAGAGTGTCGCTATGGTAAACAAATACTAGAGTGAATTTTAAAGAATGCATTTATTCTATTGTGGTTTATGCGCTATCAGCGAAGTAGATTTAATTCAATCCAAGAAGTTTAAATGAAATGCAAGAAAAAATACATATAATTTAATATTCCGTACAAGGAAGTCCTGTGGTGTACACATCAGATTTTTTCACAATGCATTTATATTATGCCCAAAGAGGAATTATATTCTTTGGGCATAATATAATTTCGCGATTTTTTCACAATGCACATCACAATTTTTCACATGCATTCTTGCAGATTCTTCATTATTTACTTTCTTTAAATATAATACATAGCGATAATATTTGAGGGCAATACTTTGAAAAGTGAATCTACGCAAAATCCCGTTTTGAAATTAATAGCCCTTCTGAGCTAGCGCCCTTTGGGCTAAAAAATATTTTGCTATTTACAAAACCCATTGGCTATTTGAATTAAATATGCACACATAAAAACATTAGATTGAGATTGGTTACCATTTTATTTATCAAAATTTAAGTTATAATACTTTAATTCTAAAATTTAGTGAGAAATTTGGACCTGTTTAAGAGAAATCAATTTCTTTATGTCTAGTCTTATTTCATTTAGTTTTAAGCATAAATTAGAAGCTACATTTATTTTTGTTCCGTATTTATTTTTTAAATATAACTTAAAAGAAAATTCTTGTTCACATATATAGGTTTTGCGGAAAGGTAATAAAAATTTAATAGCTTTATTTGAAATGCTTCTAAATTCTTCCCCCCCCCCCAGGTTAAGCCATTTGGTCACAGTAAATTTCTATTAAAAGTGTTGTTTCTTTTTTTTTTTCCCCCTTCTCAGTCTCCTACGAGATTAAATTTTGGGTATGTTTGTACAAATGGATTTCTAATCTAATTTTCTTTTTCATAACACTCAAGAAAATACATGTTAAAATTATTTATCAATAAAAAAACAATGATTTTTAATGCAAATTTCCCATTTATTTTCAAATTATTTTCGGTTAGAAAACGTTCAAAAAGTGGTGAAAAGCTTAAAATATTGTTATCCAATTCTGATTATTGACTCGAGTTTTTTTTTATCATTGCCTTTATTTATCTCTAACGATAAACAAATTAACATTTTGTCCTTGTAATCCTAAATTTAATTTATGTAACTTTTCAAAAATATCAGCTAAGTATGCTAAATGCACCAACCATAATTCACTAAATAAACATTTTTGCAAGTCAAATTTTGAATCACAGAGGAAAATTTGAATTTCTGATCCAAATTCAAAAAGACGATTTAAAACTTTGTCTCTGCATAACCACCTTACTTCGGAATATAACAAAAGCGTTATATTTTCACTACCCATCTCTTGGCATTTTTATTAAAGCTCGGCTTTTAATAAAATTAACAATTTTCACAGCTTGATTCAAAACGATTTTCAGGCTTTCAAGGATTGTTTTGGCTACTAAAGCTTCACGATTTATGGAGCAGTGTGTAAATTTAGTTTCAGATGTGTCTTTCGTTATTTGAGAAATCACTCCGGAATGTTTTCCTGTTAAAGCCCGAGCTCTGTCTCTGCATACGGCAATGCACTTATTTCAAGGAATATCATTCTCATACATAAAATTGTCAGTTACTATTGTTTTCTTAAAATTTTAATCTTTTTATTATTTACTTAAAATTTCACTTCAGTTGCTCTATCATTAAGAGATTCACAAAATAACTACAACAACAAGGAGCAATTAGGAAATAAAGAAGACTTAAATTTTGATTTGCAATAAAAATCACTTTAACGGTTAACCAAGATTTCAAAATTTTAGATTTAGCAATGACTTTTGTACTTCGGAATCTTTACAGATTTGCAAATGGATTCACAACACACATTTTTTACTCCATTCACAGCAAACATTTGCTAGCAATATGCATGCAATGCAATATGCAGAGATGTACAAGGTGTTCATAATTTCAGAGCCACTTACAGCCATAACATCAGATTGCAGACATTAAGAAGATATTCATCACTAGACATGAGAGATTAGGACCAGTGGTTCTACCAGAAATAAAAGTGACAAGAAATTCACGCTAAAATTCAAAATTTTATGATAATGTTCCAGAAAATGGCATGATTGCACTTAAATAAAAATTTTCATATATGAAAAAATGCAATTCTTGTACATTAATATGAATAAAGGTGGATTGTCATAAATGAATAAATGTCAAACATTGTGCATTAAAAAAAATATCTGCTGAAAACAAGTCTTAAACTGAAAAAAAATCAAATTTGGAAAAATAATATCAGACACACTCTTTCCAGAGAAATATGGATGGGCAACATATTTCACCAAACCAGTGTTCAATATGACTGATTAAACAAATATATACATATTTTGCTTCAAATCACTGAGCACAAGGGAGTTCACCTGAACTAATCGAAGTGCGGACTGTGAGGAGTCCAAAAGAAAAGTATCAAAACAGTATTTTCCGATTTTATTTTTGCACTGGAAAATTTTTCTCCTGGACCAAATGTGACATTGGGTGTGCTTAACCCTCTGGCTGCAGGATCAGTCATTACTGCTTTTCCCATTTATCCTGAATATAGGAAAGGAACAGAAGTTTCTCTGAAACTGACTTCATCTGTGATCAATTTCTCTGGAAGGGGGATGTACATATATTTTTATGTTTTTATTAAATTTTTACTTGCAGTCGGAGAGTTAAAAGTATGAAAAGCTAGCACTTTTTCTCATGCAGCAAAGAACTTCCAGTGCAATTTATGATATTATGCAAATAATTAATTTATAACTTTCGTTTTCTGTGGCAATTCCTTTTGCCTCTTTTTCACAACACACTGTGCAACATCTAAATAACCACTATGTTTTAGAGAAATAAGCTCCACAAAATGTGCATAACATTTTACCACCACCATCTTCAACAAACCGTGGAACAAAGAATGGATGTTCTTTCTTTCTTAAAGTGTCCATGAAATTACACTTACATTACAGTATATCAACATATTAACTTAAATAATTAGGCCTAAATTTATGGCGCAATTATATATCACAAAGATATATAATGAACATGATTCAATACAATAATAATGCATTAAAGAAATGAGAACACGAAGGTTAGAAGTCTGAAACTGAAGCATCAAAGCTGCAATCTTTGATTATCAACCCAAGCAAGATTATCGAATTTCAAAATATGGTAGTTTATTATAGTGTCATCTGTTTAAAAAAAAAAAAAAAAAACTAATAGTATTTTTAAATGCTTTGAAAATTTCATGTATGAACACTCAAATCTGGAGTTTATGAACACACAAAAAATGTTTCACTTTTTACAAAAAAGTATATTTTGCATTCCATCCACATTCTTCTATAGACTCCAATTTTCCAAAAAATAAGGGGAAAATCCCATTAAAAACAAGATGTCTAGTCACCCTATGTTAAATTTTGAAAAAATAAGAAAAATACATACAGCTCAGATTTGTTTATTTAAAAAGGGGATTTATTCCTAAAATTATTTCTTTACAAAGCAGTATTTAACATCATGAAGAATAATTTCTTGAATTTTCTTTTCTAAAAAGTTTATAAGAGTAAACATCAATTTCTATAATAGAAGATATTTTTAATGCAAAACTTACAGCGCTCATCTCCAATGAAAAATTTTTAAAATGCCAGTAAATTAATGCAACAACACAAAATTTTTTAATGAAATACTTGTATTTTTATTTACAAAAATGAAAATGAAAGAAGATATCCAAGTATCATCTACAGTTTCAAAAAATTAGCATTAATAAAATATTGCATATATAAATAATGGAACCATATATCTATATGTTAAATAATAAGCCTCATGTTAATAATTCCATTTAACAGTTATCCACTGTACATGCATATTATTAGGGTATCTTCGACTTGAAACAGAAAAATCATGAAGTTTTTCTTTTTTTTTTTTTTTTTTTTTTTTTTTTTTTCCCCCTCTCCTTCTTTTTTCAAATTACATGAATTTAAAACATTTATATAAACATATATTATGCTTCTGACAATAAATGCTTGTGCACCATTTCTTCCTTGTTAATAAGATGTGTCGTCTTGCTGAGAAGCTGCATCAAACTGTTCAAATCATGAGACCAGTCATTCAAAACTTCATTTGGATCTTTCAATTGCGAGAATGAAATAATTCCAGCCAAACGATCTACTTTAGCCCATACAGTTTTATTCACAACCAAATTAGATAGAATTTCCTCAGTTTCCTATAAAATAAGAGATTTTAGTTAAATTTAGGGAAAGTTAACTTTCTGCTATAGGTTTAGAAAATTACTTTATAATGTTATAAGATTACTTTATAATGTTGGCAGAGAAAATTAAATTTGATACCTAGAATGGAAGTTATTCATATAGTGTTTTATCATAAGAATATGATATAATGCAACTATTTTATTCATAATAATTTCTTATGATATAACTAATTTATTCATAACAATTTTTAAATTAGGTCAAAAATTTTATTTTTTATATAACTTTAAATACTTAAAACTTTTTATATAACTTAAAATTTATATAAAAAGATAACTGAAAAGAAAAATGTTTGCATTTAACATATTTAAGACCACTTCATCATCAATTATTTCATGGTGTTCTGCTTAGCAGAATGCTTGATTACTGGTTAGTTTAAGCTTTTTTTTACATTAGGAAATAATTATAACTATTTTTCTAATTTTGTTCAGATATATCTAAACCCAAAATATTATGACACATGTAATCATTTCAAGGAATAGCACATGAAATAGAAAATATTTGAAACAATTTAATCCAATGAAACAATTCAACAGCTACCCAAATATTAATTAACCTTCCAGCGGGCGCGCGTATGTGTGATATACACTAGATTTTAATTTCGCATTTTTTCGTAGACCAGAAGGCGCTATGACCACGTATGTTTAGCTATTCTCTCCTCTTCGTTCGCCCTTCTTTCAGTCATCTGCTGTATTTCGAGGGGTTAATGCAAGTCTGCAGATTTACTATTTGTATTCCAGAAATATGCGCGACCGTTGAAGTAAGTTTTTGCTATATCTAATTTCCTTTTTTATTATAGAAAATCTTTATTCTTTTGCATCTAAATCTTATGATTTTGTATAATTTGTGTGCATAATTACTTTTAATGATAAAATAGAAGCACTGTATGCGTCACATACGCGCGACCATGTATGATATTTTTGTTCTTTTCTTTTCAGTTACGCATAAAAGTTACGAATAAAAGTAAAATGCTCGACATGAATGATCCGAAGGATCTTGAGATTATAAGAAATATGCTTTTATGTGACAGTTATGACGATGAGCACATTATTTCAGGTGAAAGCATTACAGATGAAGAAGAGCGAATTTCAGGAAAAGGTGATTCAGAATCGGAGATAAGTGCAGAGGGCAATTCTGAAGAGGGAAATAATGATGATAATTCTTCTGAAATGTATATAGCTCATCAAATGAAAAACAGAAAAGTCACCGATTCTTGGACATGGCATAAAAAGAAAACTAAACGAGTGCCTCGTAACATATGTGTTCATGTTTCTGGAGTCATCGGTGAAGCTAAATATCTAACAGATATTTTGGATATATGGAAATGCCTCTTTACTGATAGTTTGATAGAAATCATCGCTGAAGATACGAATAAGTTTATTTCTTCTGTGAAGTCTAATTATTCTCGTATAAGGAACAGCAGAGAAACGAATGGGCAGAAATAAGCTCTTTTGGGCTACTTTACTTAGCTGGTATTTATCATGATAACAGAGTTCTGGAATCTTTAGGAACTGTGGAGAATGGAGGAATTTAAAGTAGTAATGAACTTGAAGAGATTTTTGTTTTTACTAAGAGCTTTATGGCTTGATGACATAAACACAAGAGCAGAACGAAGAGAAGTCGACCGCGTGGCTCCAATAAGAAACATTTTTGAAAAGTTTGTCTCTAATTGCCAGAAGTGCTATTCACTTGGAGAGAATGTCACAACCGATGAGAAATTAGAAGGATTTTGAGGAAGATGTGGTTTCATTCAATACGTTCCCAAAAACCCGAACAAATATGGCATAAAAATTTATGCCATGGTAGACGCTCGTATGTTTTACACATACAATATGGACATTTATGCTGGAGCGCAGCCAGATTGTCTTTTTACGTAAGCAACAAACCACAAGATGTTGTAAAAAGGTTGACAGAACCTATTGATAACACTGGAAGAAATGTAACCACAGACAACTTGTTTTCAAGTTTTGAGTTAGTACGAGGAAATAGATGAAAAAAAAATTGTCATTTGTAGGTACTTTGACTGAAAAACAAAATAAACCTCAAATTCCTGATCAGTTCAAGCTCACGAAAACTCGGGAACTTAATAATACGAGTCTTTTTGGATTTAGAAAAAGTATGACACTTCTCTCCCTATGTACCCAAACATTAGAAACGTAGAAACGTCATATTGATTTCAAGTCTTCATGATGACGTAGCAATAGATGAAATACCCAAGGACCAAAAAAAGCCTGAGATTATCACATTTTACAATCGTACCAAAGGAGGTGTGGATACAGTGGATAAACTCTGTGCTTCCTACAATGTTGCCAGGAACACCAGGCGTTGTCCTCTTGTAGTTTTCTTCTCTATGCTGAATATAGCAGCAATCAACAGCTACATAATCCATTCAATGAATAATAGTGAAAATTTACTTAGAAGATAATATCTGCGAAAGCTAGCTATCAACAGCTACATAATCCATTCAATGAATAATAGTGAAAATTTACTTAGAAGATAATATCTGCGAAAGCTAGCAAATGCTCTTGTGAAGGAAAACGTTGAAAGAAGAATCCCTAACTCTCTTCAAAGTGAGCTGAAATTTAAATTTTTGAAACAAAAAGCAGAATTAGCTGTTGTTGAAGAAATGACTTCAGGGAAAAAAAGATGCAAACCCTGCCAAAATGACAAGCATACTAGAATTACGAGGTTCAGCTGTGAGATTTGTTTAAAATTCATTTGTCTAGAGCACTGTAAACATATATGTTCAGACTGCACCGATGCAATGAAGTGACTATGAAATTGATTTGTTATGTAATATTTAATGTGTTTTTTCACTTACTGATTAAAAATATAAAAGTTCAGTTGAAATATTAGCAGTTTAATTTTGTTTTACTTTCAAGTTAGTTTGATAAGTCTTTAGTCCATTTTATATTGTTTTTTTGCTTTATACTTATTTTATTTTCCTTAATTTAAAGTTAATATTGTTTAACTCAATTGTACTTAACATTTAACTATTTACAAACTAATTTTAATATTTTTGCTCTGGAAAATTTATTTTTTGTAATAGCGTATCTAAGAAATATGCGCGACCTTTCTTGTTGTTGCAGAAGGCGCGCTTGCTGGAAGGTTAGATAATCTCCGTAAAAAATATGTTTTTAAAAAAAAATTTGGTACATTAGAAAATTCTGAAATATAATGCAACATAAATTAAAATATGTTTTAAATAAATCCCATATTAAATTTGGAACAAACCATATGCAAAAAACAGAAAAACAGAAGCACAGTGGTAAACTGCATGAAAAATGCAAAAAATGACAAAATCAAAAAAGGAAATAAAAAAATTTAAATCTTTCACTGCATCATTGTCAGAATGGTGCAACAAAAGAAGTAATTACATCAGCCTATTTTTGAACCAACAAAAACACAAAGTTTACTATTTAAAATAACTGTAGAAAATTAAAGTAATTTTTGCCCTTATCAGTCCAACCACTATATGTCATAATAAGAAACAATTTTCAAAATATTGTAAAATTCTAGCATCAAAATCCTTAACAAACTTTAAAAAAGCTTTTTTTGGGGGGGGGGCAGAGCAAGTTCAAAAACATGTAAATTCAAACATGAAAAAATAATAACATATGAAAATCTGAAACAGGCCAGAGTGAAAAAACTGCAAAATTACAGCATAAAAAATATAACCAAGGAAAAAAACCTTAAAGATCTAATTAAAATTAAGCAGAAATAATCCAACATATGAAAAAATAATAAAAAAATGAAAATCTGATCCACAAATCATAAAATTCAAGTAGTTAGTTCTTATAATAAAGCAAAGAAAGAAATGAAATGAAAAAATATTAATTTGACAGTACCCAATAGCAAAACAGTGTTGTCTAGCCTGTGCTAAGTAATGAAATTAGATTAGCTATGAAATTTAAACTGTAATATAAAAATTGCTGTATTATAAAACTGTATTATAAACATAAACTGTATTATAAAATTAATTAGAAAAACTTTAACATAAAATTAAATATGGTGTTGTCAAAATGAATAATTTGTGAAAGGAAAAACACTGAATTACATCTTATAAATCTGATTCTGAAGTTCCATTTATGCTTTTTTGCTCATTTATGAGCTGCTATCATTCACTAGACATATCTGCCACAGAATAAAGGTATCAATATTCTTTGCATTCAGATGTCTTTCCTCTTTTACAATATTTTTACAAGAGACTTTATACACCAATAATATGAAGAAAATAATGATAAAACATTTTTCCAAAGAAATATAAAATCTGAAGATTTTATAATCCAGAATTGAAAAATTAAAAAATTTGCTTTAGTGCTTCCCATGAGACTCCAACTGGAAAAATGAAATTTATAAGTGACTATATTAACACATTGAGTGCCACGTCAGCCATCTGTGGCTGTCACTAAACTTTCCGTTTAGGCCGTTTCAGCCATCTGTGCCCGACACTAAACTTTCCGTTTAGGCTGTGTCAGCCATCTGTGGCTGACACTAGACTTTCTGTTCAGGACGCATCGGCCGCCGCTGGCTGACAGTGTGTAACATGACATAGTATAACTATCAAATATACACTGTTTAACAACCCTTTGATATTATTTTTATAATTTTTTTAACTAAAAACTCCAGAAATTGAATATTATGATCCTAGAGACAAATAATATACAAATTTAAAAAAATCTACTCTTGCCCATTGTTCTGTGGATGGTGGTCGCACTGTGAAACCACCGCGCGTCTAGGACTTTGAAACTTACCGAGGTAAGTAGGAAAAAAAAACTTAACTTTTCTCTGTGCGCGTTTTAATAAATGACGAAATTTACGAATTTTAAAAAAATGCATGTAAGAATTGCATTATATATAATTTTTTTACATTATTTTACAAAGTAAATCGTCAGAAAAAATTAAAAAATAAACATTTATGTAATTTTTCTATAGCAGTGAAAATATAAGTACCTACATAATAAGGACATTTGGATAAATGGATTAAAAAACTCAATAAAATAACAATAAAAAAGAACTCAGTGGTTTTTTTTTTTTTTTTAATTTTAAATTTTAAAGAAACTCTTTTTTGTTTTGTGTGTGTGTGTGTGTGTGTGACATTGTTCAAAGCATGTTTTGTCTCTTTGGTACATGCATAGACCCACATTGCACGTTTCGCACATACATCTTGTTCTATGAGGTTTCTTCCTTGTGCTACAAAATGTACACTGCCTGGATTTAAAATTCACTGGTATATGTCCAGCGTTATTTAGTTTCTTTTCATCTGGCACATGAAATTTGTGGGTTTTTTATGTTAATGGGGGGGGGTCTTTTTGGCTTTGTACGGATTGTTCATTTCCCATTCATACTTATTTTATTCGCACTTCATCCCAAAATATTCAGAAAATGTTTTTAATTTAAATAAAATTTTTACGCACTTTCTATTTTAAATTATAGCAAAGTATATTTACATTAAATTTAAACCACAGGAAATAATTTATAAAATCACAACACTAGCTTGGGGAGCAAGTGTGTTGATGTCAGAAAAAAGTATTTGGAAAAGAAAGACCTTTTTACTGGGCAGGTGCATGTATTGTATAACTTTGTGGTTTCAAAGCCTGTTATCTATATCCGGGTAAAAATAAACATTCCTATTTGAAAAGCAAGCGAACGCCATTGAGAAGCAAACGCCAGTGGTTTCAAGGTGCGACCACCGAGCCTCTAGAGGATTGTAAGCATTGTGACACAATGTTCTAGTGGCGGTCGCACCCTGAAACCACATAGCAAATGCCATACATATAGAGGATATTAATAAAAGGAAGTTATTTTGTCTCATCGAAAACGAATTTTAAAAGGCATCCGATTTGAAGTATTAATACCTAAAACATATATGATTCTAGAGTCATTTTGTGTTATTTAGATGTAAAAGATCAGTAATCAATTCATTTTCTCTCAAAAATTTCGGAAAAAAAAAATTTGGAAAATGGTGGTTTCAGGGCGCGACCACCGCGTGTCAAAGGGTTAATGGAATTAAATTACAGAAAACTTATTTAAAATTTAACGTAATTTTGAATCATTATAGGACTAATGGATTTCACTGAAACACGGTAAACATAAAAACGGTTCTCCATTACAGCTATTACAAAATGTGACAACTCTGTTAGTCTTTTTTCTGGCCATTTACTCCACCAGCTTCTGTTGCATTTTTATCATAACATAATTTACAATATTTCCGTACTTCAGAGGCTTTTCCCGGTTTTCTTTGGAGTTTATGTTGTCACTTTTTAGATATTCTTGCATTTTTGTTTGATGGAATGTCTTCTTTTTCATAACTTGTAAGAGATAGCACTAATTATTTCCAGAATTCAGTAATGTTAATTTTCTGCTTCATAATATCTTTCATAAATCGGCCACGAATCCATTTCGATAAAATCTTATCTATTTGGCCAAACAGTAAAGAAAACAGACTTGGCACGTAACGTGTTGAATCAATGCCTAAAGGAATCACGTTCCAAACATAAACTATCTTCTACTGTGATAAGAATCACTGGCCCTACAATACAGTACTTTTAAGCGCCGCGCGTGGCGTGAACGAGATTGCCTAAGAAATACACGTGGAGTTCAACAGGTTAAAAAAAATTTTTATTGTGAACTTCCAGAGGCATGTTATTTTCATAGTTTTTAGGATAATATATAGTACATCTGGATATTTCTAATAAAATAGAGCAGAAAATGATTTTCAAGACTATATGCTAGCATTACCATTATAATCCTGATTATATTACATTTTAAGACCTAAATTTCAAATATTTTAGATAAAAATACAATCAAAACAGCATTCTAAATTTCTTTCATATGCAAGCTTACAATGCAATGTTATTCAATCTTAAAAATGTTTGACCAATTTAGGTAATCTGGAAGAAAAAAAAACTATTTTTAACTAATTGATGTTTCCTGTTCTAGAATGTATTCATAAAAATACTGGCTACCAAAATGTACTGTGCAGCCTACAACACCAAATACATTAAATTCGGTCTCATTCGTACAGAAGTTGGCCAGACCTGTACTAAAAAGTTTACATTTTTTTAATGTTCATTTGTTTAAAAAATAATGTGAAAACTGTATTTCCATGAATTATTTTTTACTTTTGTTATTTTTCTGACAAAAATTTTTACCAAAAGAATATCCAATTAATTCTTTTACATTAAATCAAAGACTAAATCCATTAGACATGGCCAATCTAAATGGAGAAATTAAGAATGATATTCAATAAGGATGAAGGTATATGGCTGCGATTTCTAAAAATTTAATTTCGGTCTTATACTATGAATGTCTCAGTTAAGAAATCTTTCAAAGATCAATTTCAAAGGCTGAATGGCTTTTACTGTCTGTCTACCACAGGAACAGCTCTTGAACAGCCATTTCTTGGCAAAGAAACAAATCTTTGGCCTGTGAAAAAATGCATTTAAGTTTATCATCTTCATGCAACTAATGGCAAATTGGCAATATACACTCTTTAATTTTTGCCTTAAATAAAATATTCATTACAATATTGTTCTATTTCTCCCATGATAAACATTCGCCAAAAACAAAATAAAACCTTCATCTGACTTATCCCTACTCGAATTGTATAAAGCCTGTAATGATAGCGGCCAATGCCACATATTGGTTGGTGAAAGTAATTTCTTTGATAGACAACAGAATGGAAATAACCATATCTTGAGATAAAACATAACAGCTAAATTCAAGCAAAATGTATAACTGGATCATAAAAGCATGAAAATTAATTTCCCTGACAATAACTATGAAGAATTTTAAGAAACATTTCAATGTAATGAATGTTTCTATTTGATTTAATCCAGCTGGATGGGTAAAGTAATGGTCTCTGGGGATCTGCAGTCAGGCAGAGACAGTGATGCATAAGACCAAGAGAATTAGGAATTCAATAGCGTTTTGCTTTAATATAATAGAAACTTAATTATTTGTTGCTCTGTTAATTGCATGCTTCTATTATTCACCAACTACTGTATGGAAAAAATGAACAAAAATCTGCAATAAATAAAAAGTATAAAAAAATCATAATTTAAATTAGACCATATTATACAATAAAACATGACTGTTTTGTCACTGTAAAAGAATACTAGAGTAAATATGAGTATTGCTACAGATAGCTAGAATTAAAGATTTTCAAATATTAAATGATGAGGAACGTTCATAAAATGTGGTGACAATGGGAACAAAATGCCTCAAACTCACATTAGTAAACAACATCACCACTATACCACAACAGAAATCACTAACCTTGATATATCATGATTTGTCTACGCCTTACTGCACACTGCGAGAGGAATATGTAGAGCTTTCACTTATTCACAAAAAATTTTGGTAAAGAATATATGTATAGCTAAGATATTTTCTTAAGTCTGCAGTTAAAGGAACATGGCATCTCCAACTTTTCCTAATAGAAAAAACCAACATCACACTAAAAAGAAAATCAACAGCAAGACACTTCAGTGGTGATCACAAGTATGAGATGATCTGTTTCACCTTTACCATAATGCAACTAGCTCACTTAACTCAAACTCAATGGGGCTCAATCACATCCTTCCAAATATATCCTTCAAAGCACATGGACTCAGTATACACAAACACACACACATATATATATATATATATATAAACACACACTTTAGTGCACTAGGGCTTCGAAAAAGAACCAAGCTCAGGTAAAATTAGGCAAAAAATAAAGCCCCTTAGATTGCCACACATTTTAAATAAATTTCTATCAAAAGAATTTTAAATAAAACTCTATCAATCTGACATAGGTCTTTACCTATTCAGGACCAAATATACTGGTCAGATTTTGCATTTTACACTGACATGTTTCTATTCTAATCAGAAAAGGCTCAATCTTTACTATAATTGTATTTTTTAATATTGTGCTTTACACTAGAGAATTGCCACTGGAATTATGAGATCTGCCTAATTTTGCATTTTACATTGGCATGTTTTTATTCCAATTAGAAACAGACTTGCTTTGACTAATTTGCACTTTCAAGTATTATGCTGTGCACTAAAGAACTGGTCTCTCTTATTTATAGAAAAGACATACTGCATGCAGCAGCCAGATCTCAAGCATGTTTTTGCACCTGTAATTATAATACATGACTAGCAGCTCCGTATCGGTAGACAGGAACTCAGGCCATTACAACAATGGCAAAACCAACATTGAATCACTTCATGCTAAAATATGAATAAATTATAAAATTAAAAACCTATCTAAGATTCCTGGAACTTCCAAAAACAAAGACAACGACAACAAAAAAAAAAAAAGGCTTGTGCAGTAACATAAATAACTACATTAATAAAAAATCAGATAAAATCGTTTAAGCACATATGGAGAATTTATAACATTTGCATTAATATTGAAATTACTTACTTGTTCATTCAAATCTAACAATTCAGCCATGCGCTGAAGAGTAATGCGTGTGTAATACTTTGCCATAATCCTTATATTCTGGAATAAAATACAGTTAAAGACTTGTTTAGAGATTTAATATATAATTCAGCAAGAAGCAATTTTATGCTAATACAAATGTTTTCAGCCACCCCCCCCCCTTTTTTAGGTTTGTATGAAAGCTATTTAAATTCTCTCTGACGGAAATTTGAATTAAAATAATTAGGCTTCTAAATAAAATATCCTTTGAAAAAAAGGTGGCAGGCAGATGTGAACCCATTTAATAATTTTCCACTAAAAGGATTATTACTACCAACATAATTTCTTGCTTTTACAATAGAATGAACAACATTATTTACAGAATAAAAATAATAAATAAATGAATAAAATATAAATTTGAATCTTAAATTAATCACTACAATGTATAATTATAAGGCCAAGTCTATCATTAAAAACCACAGCTAATAGCTATGCAATTCACAATTCACATGCAGATCCATTTAAAAATACTGCATGACACTTAAAAAATTCTATAATGAGGAAAATTAATATGTCATGTGCATGACACTTAAAAAATACTATAATGAGGAAAAATAATATGTCATGTACTTTATTATAACACTAAGTAACAATTTCAGGCTAATGGGTAGAAAAGAAGCATATGAAATTTTAATGCAGTCTCTAACTGGCATTAGTCACACAGAAAAGCTCAAAAGGTATTTAAAGCGAAATTATTTTAGGGGAAGGTACTGCAAGTGCATGCAGTTATATACATACATCATGTCCACGAATTATTTACCTGGCCTTTATTTTCACAATTGTTAGCCGTACACATATGCTTCAATTACAAAACTGTTTCAAATGATGCAAAAATTCATGATTTAGCAACTTTAAATTTAGAAAAATTAATTTTAAAAAAATTATGAAATATAAATTTTTATACAGTACTCTTGTCTCTATATTTATTTATATTTAGTACTCATTATAAAAACTTAAACACAGAAGGGCTGACTCGCATATGATAAAAATTAACTGAGATATTTAATTGCAAAATTTGCAATTTTTCACATTTTCAACTTGCCTTGAGCGATCTGTTAATAAATAAATTATAATAATTTGAGGTAATGTTTTTTTCCCTTGAATGTCATTCAATGATTGTGATTTGTTAATGTGCAACATTCTTTAATTTATAATTTTGTTAAAACTGATATGCCAAATGAACTTTCATCCAAGTAATTTACAAGTTTTCAAATGCTAAAAATGTGATAAAGTTTTTTTTTTTTTTTTTCCCTCCCTGTTGTCAGTTTTTAGCATCAAGTAAATATAGTTATGTCGAAGAGAGGTAATAAAAATCTGCTGGTAAAACAGTCATCAAGTTAACTTTTTTTTGGAGGGGGGATCCTGCTTTTTTTTTATACCAGAAAAATGCATAGCAGCATCTTTCCAAAAATTTTGCCGCATTACATTATACTACCAGTCATCACTGCCATCATGCACTTATTGCCACTATAATAAAGCTGCACTGCCCTACACTGGTGATTGAAAATCCATAGACCAGTAGTAACCAACAGCTTTGACATACACAGGGTTGCTACTCAAACAGGAGAATGAAATTCCCCGACTTCCCCAGGTATCTTTTAAGAAAATTCCAGTCTATTCGCGTTATGCATGTTTGCTGTGCTAAGAGGTAAAATAATTATGGTATTACTTGAAAACACAAAAATTTGCTAATTACATATGACTTATATATATATATATGCATATATAAATATAATCCAAAAAGCATTACTATGATAACTAAAATAGGAGTTATTTTCTCCACTGAAAATTGAGATCAGAATCTGCCAGATCTGGATTAAAAATGTCTTTTTTTTTTTTTTTTTTTTTTTTGCAGACAAATGAAAGAAACAAATCTATTTAATGATATTTTTAAACATATTCGGGTTATATTTATTTAGCAGCATACTTAAGCAAAAAATATGTGCATTAAATTTCGTGATAGTATGTCATCATACTGCTAGAATTAGTTTCAGGATTATGCTAGAGAAAATTTCCTGAAATTTGAAAGTATTATTTATTAATAATAAATAAATTTAAAGGGAAGAAGCAACATTAAATGATACGAATAACATAAAAATAAAGATAATTACTTAAAAATTGAATTAGAATAATTAACGATATTTTAGCGAATATAGTTATATTAAATGGTTAAGCCTTAAGCCTAGATGATTACTATTTTTTTATTTTACTGCAAAATGACAAATAAGGCATTTATTAAAAAGAAAAAAAAAAGTTTAAAAGATTTTGCAGGTAAAATCCTAGTATACGCTACGGCCTTGGCAAGATTTCGAAAATTGTCACCAACACCAAAATGACCTGTTTACTGTTTATCATTATGTCTCCAAATCCCGTGTATACCATACATGGAGGTTAGAATAGAATACATGGAGGCTATTCTAACCAAAGAACGACTAAATAAAGTATGAAAGGTTCCATAGACGTAATGCTATTACGCCACTAGAAAGAGGAGGGAAAATTCGTCAAGGAATTTCGGAAACTGGAGGCGAGAATTTCCCTCTTTGCGATGTCTACAGGAAACTGAGGAAAACGTGTTAAGAAACGTTTCTTCTTTGAAACTGAGGAAGACGTTTCTTCTTTGACTTTTCGCAATAATTTAAACACGGATTTGCATACTGTTTTTTTTTTTTTTTTTTTTTGTTTGTTTGTTTGTTTCTTGGGGCTCAAAATAACTAATTTACTTGTGTGAAAAAATATTTTCTTTTCTTTTAAATTTAAAGAAATTTTAAACGATATTCATTTTATGTCGACATCGGGTTCGAGCTTTGCCGACAGATATTTTGCGCATGCGCAGCTGTTTTCCTCTACGTTGGAACAGAGCCACTCCTGTTTGTTACGCAGAAGTTTTCCTTCTTAACAATACATATTTTTTTATTCTAACCTCCATGGTACCGTATACTAGGATTAAACCAACATGCACATGCGATTCTCTCGAGGTTACTGGAAGCCAAAGATGCTGAAAATTTTCTTTGCCTTTCTAAAAGACAATTTATTAGAGCTGCAAAAATTGGCTCTATGCTAGATGCCCGAATGATGCTCATGCGATACACAATTTGTCAAGAAAGTGATCACTTCCAACGCTGGTGCAAAACTCAGTTTTTTGGGGAAGGATTGCCGTATGAAATTCCCTGACTTTCCTTGAAGTTTAGAGTCAATTTTTGAATTCCTCGACTTTTTCTTGTTTTCCAGGTAGCATGGCAACCTTGCATACATCAGTGGTTTTTATTATTATATTATTATTATTATTATTATTATTATTATTATTTTGAGAAATTGTGTAAATTTATTACACTGCTCAAACAACAGTGATTTTATGGGATGACCAACAATAAGTCATCAGAAATCAACCTGCAGGTCACCACCAACTATCTATACTACACTCATTTCCAAAAGTTAAGCAAGGAGAGGAAAATGCTAATTTCCAGAAGCGAATCAGAATTGAAGAGGATGCAATTCGCTGCAGAGGTAGATGGAAGTATGCAAATATGTTAGGTAATAGTCAATCGTGCTTTCATTTCAAGAAATATGCAAAAAAGGCAGTCTTATAAGAAGCCAGCTTTATGAAGGGTTACAGAAGTTGATTGTAAGTGCTGATAGAAGGTGTTTAAAACTTTCGTACAATTTGTTTTCAAGACATACATGTTTCTATGACTTCCAGAAGACTAATGGAAGATTCTGAGAGCTGGCATGCTGTGGGGCACATTGAAGCAGGACAGTCAATCACAGATGTTGCTTTTTTCTTCGGCGTTCATCATTCTGTAATTTCACGTTTATGAAAACAATTCCAAACCACATAGACAGTTGTCTGAAGGCCCGTAGCTGGTTGCCCAAGGGTTACAACCCCTGCGGAAGATCGATATGTTGCTATTGTAGCCTTCTGGAGCCAGATGACAAGTGTATAAGGATATGGCGTGAACAATGAACGCACAATCAGTCCCAAAACATCACCGAACATCACGCATTCTGAGGCAAAAGCATTATGCAGTGGGGCAGAGATTTCATTAGAATACTGCACCGACCTGCAAATCTTTAAACGGGGTTCTTTGACGGCTGTCCGGTATCGAGATGAAGTCCTAGAAACCATTGTGAGATTGTACACTGCAGCAGTTGGCCCTACTTTTGTTTTAACGGACAATAATGCACATCCCCATAGAGCCGACATTGTCGATGACTACCTGGAGAGTGAAGAGATTGAGGCCCTACTTTTGTTTTAACGGACGATAACGCACATCCCCATAGAGCTGACATTGTCGATGACTACCTGGATAGTGAAGGGATTGCACGTATGGCATGGCCAGCATATTCGCCCGATCTTAATTTCATTGAAAATATTTGGAATGCTCTCGGCCGTGCTGTATCTTCACATTTCCCACCTCCAGCCACTCTTACTGAGCTAGAAACTGCTATACAAAAAGAATGGTGATTGCTTAAATCTGCGATGGTTGACCACCTAATTGAAAGCATGGTCACAAGGTGTAAAGTTTGTATACAGATGAGGAGGGATCACATACCCTATTAATGTCCTTTTTTTTCACTTTATACATAATTCTGTTTATGTCTCCAGTATGTGATTATCTGATAACTTACAAAATTTTAATATTGTTTTCATTTGTGTATACAATTATTGATTTTGTTTTATGCAGAAATATATATGCTACTTTCCTGCCGAATTTTGTGTCAATCAAAGCAGTATTTGTTGATTTTTTTGCATTTTACATTTTCGTACTTAACTTTTGGAAGCGAGTGTAGTTTCCAAAAATTAAGGAAAAATCGCAAAAACAGCGATAACTTATTAAAAAATAATCCAATCTGTATAAAATTTGAATATGTTGTCAAATAAGAAATACTCAGTAAAACTGCGGTATGCAAATTAGTGGTGCTGCAATCAAAATATGTCATCTGCGAGGAACATAAAATTGCATGTTTCAGAGCAAGCCTGCAAATTTCGCAAAATTTGTAATACTGAGATAAGAAATCTGGGATAGCCAATTTGTAACAATGACCTCCAGGCATAATTTGCCCCAAAATTTGTGATGAAGAGCTATTGGGAGACTAGAGGCAACTCAGACAGAAGTGACCTGATGGCAAAATGCAAGTCCTTCCGTGTTTCATAGACTTTGGTAATAATATCTAACCACAGATTTGGCATCCAGGAGGTTCAGCCAAGGATGGCCAAGTGCTATGGAGAGTGATGATGACCAATATTTGTTGGTAAGTGCATGAAGGACTGGAACCTTAACTCTGACTCACAACTCAGATATTTCCTTGCTGCAGCCACTGGAAGGTTGGTGTCAACATTGATTGTACAAAGAAAGCTTCACAAAGGAGGTCTGTATGCAAGGTGACCAGCCATTTGGATGTCATTCATGTCACATCACAGAAGGAAACATTTGAGGTGGGGATGTCAACATGTCCACTAGACAGCTGATCAATGGAAAACTGTTCTTTCTATATGAATCCAGGTTTAACCTTCAAAGTGACAAGTGTTATTTGGTTTGGAGAGAACCTGGAACCCATTATCCATCCATCAAACATCTGTGAAAGAGATGCATACGGAGGAGGCAGTGTCTGTGTTTGGGATGGTATCTTTTTGGGTGAAAGCACAGATTTCTATTTCTTTCTATATGGAAAAGTGAATACACAAGAGTATAGAGATAGCATCCTTGATGCTTATGTGTGCCCTCATGCCACAGCAATAGGTGATATCCTGCTACAGGACAATAATGCTAGACTGCACAGGGCTCATGTTGTGGATGATTATCTTCAGCAGCAAACAATTCAGCACAAGGAGTGGCCAGCTCAATCAGTTGACCTGAATCCTAACAGATATTTCAGGATGCTTTAGGAAGATGTATGGCTGCTCTCAATAATCCTCTTTAGACTCTTGCAACTGCTTTGTAAGAGCAATGGCTTTCATTTCCTATGGAATTGATAGACTGCATGATTAACAACATCACACATCGCTGTATGTGTTGTACTGCTTCTAGGGGAGATTAAACTCCATATCGAATGTATTTTTCGTATACCAAATATATGCATCTGGATTTGTTCACTTTACACATATGCTAATTTCTATAACACCATAATTGTCTGGCAACTTCTTTTCATGTTATTTAAACCTTACTATGTGTTGTAAGTCAATTTCATTAAATTCTACATGTAACTTTTTGAGTAATTATCATTTTTGCGATTTTTTTTCCTTAATTAATGATAACTGGTGTATTTTGATGGGTACGGGCTTCTTTCACTTTAATATAATTTTTTTCAAGTTACTTAAATTCATGTCAGTATAACTACATGCACAGTGTGGAGAAAATTCTTAAAAACTTGCTATCTATTTACAGAGATATTTATATGGGAGAAATATATCATTTTATATATTTTTTCAGAAATATACTATACCACATGCATAAAACAAAACAAAAAAAAAAAAAATTCAAGAATGCTATCAACACAGACCAATTGGTATAGATTTGTTTAATACATTAAATCAAACTTACATGTTCAACAACTCTATTTTTTAAGTCTTGCCAACATTTCTTCCCAATTTCATCATGACCAAAGACTTCAGCGGCTGTTATATCTGATGTAGCTTCACGTAAGTCAGGTTCATATTTTTGATGCAATAATCGCCAGTTAATTAATTCAGATGTCGTAAAAAGCTGCAACAATTCCCTGAAAATAAAGTTTATTTTTTATACTTAAAATTTAAGTCTTCAGATTTTATGTGAAGCATGTTAAAAATGAAAATTATTCCTCCTTCCCCACATAAACAATATTTTACGCTCCTGTGATACTTAAATACTCATGAGGTCTGTATGCAAGGCAACTTAAAATATTTAAAACAAAACTAACTTTAAAAGTTTACTATATTTATTAATGAAAATTTTAAATCTATTAATTTAATATATAAGTTTCCTTATAAAGAAATACATCTAAGATTTTAGAAGGAGCAGAAAAAGTATACTTTTTACAAATTGTTTCATACTTTCAGTTTGATTATATAAATTATTAATATAAATTAATTATATATATAAACCAAAAATTGGAGCAGCTGGACAACAAATTTAATTTGTGTGAATTTTTTTTTCCAAAGTTAGAATTAGAAGCATGAATTGCCCATTCCCACAAAACAATGCATTCAGTTAGCATGTCATCCTGATAGAGCTGTTCAGTGATTGAGCTGCCCGTGACTGAACGTGTTAAAGAAACCTGAAGAGAATTTTCACTTTCACAAATTTAGCAACCAATCATTGCATAAATGGGTAGTTTATATAGTTTTATATTGACTGTACAGACCATCATTCACTCCTGAACTAATTCATAGAACCGATTCACTTAAATCAATGAGCGAATGCCGATTTGAAGCACCACGGAGCAGTACCTCCTTTTCAGTTCACCTATTCAGAGCTCTTGTTGGAAAGGGCCATGAAAAGTTGATTTTTAGGGAAGATAGCCATTCGTTCTTTTCTCACGTTATAAGCAAGTTTAATCCTTATCATTTCTTTACTATTTGAAAAAAAGTTTTAGTTCAGAATTTTACTGTAGTTCTATGTAGAAAGGAGATTTTAGAAAATCTCAAAATTAGATTTGAAAGAAATCAGTTCACTTCTAATTGACGTGAAAACCAGTTCTTGTTGACTGTAAAAGCTGGTGAAAATCCTGCTAAACTTAACATTTCATGCTGGAAGAATTTTGCAAGAACAGATGATATTTAATTTTGTTAGATAATTCCAGATTACTTTTAATTCAGTGACATAATAAAGACATACAAATTATGGATACAGTATTGGGGGTGATTGCATCCCTCATTTCGAAAATCCTAAAACTAGCATGGAAAAAACTCCTACATAAGGGGCACAATAGCCCTAGTAGGCCACAGCCTGCAGTGCCCCAAAATCTGCTTTTGACCTTGAGCCCCGGAGTGCATCAGCACATGCCCTGGGCAAGTGGTCAGCTTGTCGCAGGACCCCCGGTGTTTAGTCCCCAAGCAAACTTGGGGGAAATAACATTTTATCGACCCACTCAAGGAACGAAAGGCTGAGTCAACCTTGCCCAGCTTAGGGATCGAACACTGGACCTGTGGTGCAGCTGCACGACACACTAGCCACTTATTATATATATATGTATAGATATAGATAGATATCAAAAAAATAATTAATTAACCAATTCTTACTTATATTTAGGTAGCTCATCCAACGTTTTATCTTCTTTCACTCTGTGAATAAGATCAGATTGTTCATTATCATAAGGAGAAAGTACGAGGTACATTACGACCTTTTTCAATGCTACGTGCTTCTTTTCAACATCTTCCTGGATCTGAGCTGTATCATAGACAGCTCTAAAATGCTTGCAAATGGACAAATAAGAACCTTCATGTTGATCAAGTTCAATCATAAGTCGGTAAAATTTCAGTTTTAGATCCTATTGGCAAAATCAAGAAGAAAATATATAAATAAACTTATGTATCATGCAATTTATAAATAATTTGGAATAAAATACCTTTAATCATTCATTGCTTAATACTTTAATCAATTCATATCTTAAATCTTTTTTTTAACAGGTACAAGTACACTATACCCAACTTTTAAAAGTTCACTTTACATCACTTTGCTTTCATGAAGGACTGTTTCAGTACTTGTAGCCATAATGAAAGAAATGATAAAAGCATTACAAAGAAAATGGGAAAAAAACAGCATTCAAGTTATTTTATGCTAATTTTAACCCATCTAAAACAGGCATGTCATATGTGTATCACCAACAAGTGCTATCTCACAGCCAAGTGTATATATGAATCCTGTGTAATTCACTCTGCGGCCAGACGTACCACATGACTTTTTAGATAGAACATTTAATTAGTACTTTTTGTTGCCACTAGATTCAGCTGTATGTCCATTATGGTGAAATTCATCACACTGAAGCATGTTGACCTTCATTCCTATGCAATTTTTTTTTTTTTTTTTTTTTTTTTTTTTTTTTCATTTTGTCTTTTTGTTTTGGAATGATAGGTATATTGGTTGGGTGCTGTTGAACCATGCACAGACTCTTTAACTGTGTCAGTTGATATAATCAAATGCAAAACAAATGCATTTGTTGGCAATGCTTCAGAATTTTTATTAAAGTTTCAGATTAAACAAAATCCATGATTGGATGTTTCTGCCATATATATTTATTTAAATCAAAAATTATGTTACTCTAGAACTGATTATTTTATGAATTTTTTAGGAAAATATAATGATAAAGTTTTAAAATTAATTCTGATAATTGTACAGGTGCTCCTCTCATAAACAAACCAAAAATTGGAGCAGCTGGACAACAAATTTAATTTGTGTGATTTTTTTTTTCCAAAGTTAGAATTAGAAGCATGAATTGCCCATTCCCACAAAACAATGCATTCAGTTAGCATGTCATCCTGATAGAGCTGTTCAGTGATTGAGCTGCCCGTGACTGAACGTGTTAAAGAAACCTGAAGAGAATTTTCACTTTCACAAATTTAGCAACCAATCATTGCATAAAATGGGTAGTTATATAGTTTTATATTGACTGTACAGACCATCATTCACTCCTGAACTAATTCATAGAACCGATTCACTTAAATCAATGAGCGAATGCCGATTTGAAGCACCACGGAGCAGTACCTCCTTTTCAGTTCACCTATTCAGAGCTCTTGTTGGAAAGGGCCATGAAAAGTTGATTTTTAGGGAAGATAGCCATTCGTTCTTTTCTCACGTTATAAGCAAGTTTAATCCTTATCATTTCTTTACTATTTGAAAAAAAGTTTTAGTTCAGAATTTTACTGTAGTTCTATGTAGAAAGGAGATTTTAGAAAATCTCAAAATTAGATTTGAAAGAAATCAGTTCACTTCTAATTGACTGTGAAAACCAGTTCTTGTTGACTGTAAAAGCTGGTGAAAAATATCCTGCTAAACTTAACATTTCATGCTGGAAGAATTTTGCAAGAACAGATGATATTTAATTTTGTTAGATAATTCCAGATTACTTTTAATTCAGTGACATAATAAAGACATACAAATTATGGATACAGTATTGGGGGTGATTGCATCCCTCATTTCGAAAATCCTAAAACTAGCATGGAAAAAACTCCTACATAATTTCAAATAATTCAGAATATTAATGTGAAATAAATACATATATGCATACATACATATTTTCAAATAATTTCATGAGCTAAGTAAAGAGTATAATTTTAAAAATTTATTAACAATTCATTCTTTTTTTTTTTTTTTTCCAATCATTTTACACACAGTTGCTTACCATTCTGGTCTCTTCGCATTTAAACTTTTTTTTTTTTTTAAAATTTAGATTGCGTTTTGGGGGGAGAGAGGAATCAGTTTCAGGAAATCGGTTGCATTTATACTTTTCTTTGCTAACACTTGAAAGTTTGGTAACATCAGCAAGACATTTTGATATAGTATCTGTTTTTCACTTGACTCTTTAAGTATTAGATCAGAACTTGAAATATGCATACTAGCAGATGTACAGATAAGATATTGCTAAAAGGAAGAGAATGATTCCTGGAATGTAAAGAATTGTGGTAAGCTGTCCAGTTATTCAACAAAATACCCCTAATAAATATACCAAAAGGATTTTCTGAGCCAAAAACTGCACATGTATTTTGTAATATAATGAGAATAAATAATATTTCACTCTCAGCATAGCATCCAGACAATCAGTGATAATGGAAATTGTCTACATTTTGTTATATTAGGCCAGTGTGCTCACACGAGAAACTTGATCTCTCACTAAGCTTTATAGTCTACGAACACAATCTTTTTATAGTTTATGGTCTAAACATTTAAACATTTATAATTTCTGAGAGATATATAAATTCTAAAATAAAATTTGAAAAGATAATGAGATCTGCATTTCATAAATCATTTTCAGACCACACTCAACCCTGTAGCATATAAAAAACTTTAAATATGAGCTCAAGCTTCGATTGGTTTATTTAATTATGGCAAAGCACACAAAGGATATCTGCCTGAGGGATGTCTTTATGAAGGACTTTCTAACTCAAGCTTTGAAATTATCTTTCAAATTAATTCATTAAAAATCTGTGGTACTTTTGTGATCATATAAATTTCAGCTTGCAGTAGAACTGCCATGTTTTTGCCATTTTCAAGTATATATGAGGGATACCCAACCCACACATGCGTAAACCACACAACCTGTTTGACTACATGTGGATTTGCATGCTTTATATTTAACCATCATTCAGCTAAATATCCACTTGTTATAAGAATGTAAGGATTGCCCTTACAGATTTTTGTTTTCTTCATACACTTTTTGAATACTTTGTTTTATTATTTTATGAAAGAAACAGTACCTCAACGGCCCTAAAATTAACCAAACAAGTGTTTTCTGCTAATTTATAAAATCACCAATTTTTCATGGAGGTGAAAATAATCACAAAATGCCAAGTTTGCAACAGTCATTCCAGTGGCCAAAAATTCCTAATAGCATTTAAAAGAGGAAAAAAAAAAAGTCGTCTTTGTGAACCTGACATTACATAACTTCATCTAAATACAATCTAAGTTGTATAGCACTGCTTTACATGGTTTTTTTTATTGTGCTTTTTCTCCATAACCCCCCATCTTTCAATGTTTTGAATGTGAATGCTAGTACCAAGATCTACAAAATTATGTTGTTGATTAAATTCTACAGCTCTCAGTTCATTAGTTTTTGTAAGCTTCCAAGAATCCAAACCAACTGCAGATGAAAAACAAAGCAGATCGAATATATCCACACTAGCTCACTAAGAATTAATCAGAGTTATACAAAACCAAAATTAAAATATTATTAGGGTGTTGCAACATCAAGCTCATCCATAACTGGCCTTAAATCATGTTGTTTAACAACAATTTTTATTTGTTGAAATGACAGTGAGCAAAATATGTAAGTATCAAACAATGAAACTCTGAAAAGTCATACACATGAAATGCAGAATATTCTGAATGATGACAAGGAACTATGTTTCATTATTTGAAAACAGGTCCATTCAGACTATTCATCTTACCTTTAACTTCTGTTGTAACTACTGTAATGCCTAACAGTAAAGAGATTCAAATTTTCAAATTTGTTTTCCGTCTTTACTTTCATTTAAAATCATGTATGGGCTTACAAGATATAGGAACTATAATCTCAAATCAAATCAAATCAAATGATTGGTTGATTTAAGGTAAAACACACCAGGGCTATCTTCAAAAGATGGGATGTCTACATTAAGAACTTTTTCTTACACTGACTTGTATTAACATAATACTAATACAGGCAGTCACAAACAATCTGTAAACATTATTTGCTCATCCCAATAGATTCAAATCACAATATGATTACATAGCTTCTTCATGCCTTTTCTGTAACACAAGTTCCTGTACCTTTCTATCGTACCAACTTCAGAAGATTTAGCTTTTTTTTTTAATTCTGTAAAGTCTCCTAAAGTCATATATACTGGTGACCAAAATTGTGGACACTTTTGGAAATTTTTATGTTTTTGAACTTTGTATGCTTATAGAAAACGTTACGTTTCACAAAATGAAAACTTGTATATATCATTTTAAAGAGAATTTATTACTGAATTCAATACAAAACACAAAATTCAATTATTTGCAACACAAAAAAAAAAAAAAAAAAAAACGATAATATTTATCGACATACATTAGATAGTGATGAATGCAGTGAGTTATCAGTACTTAGTAGGGTACCCTTTATTTTTGATTACAGCTTCACATCGACGTTTCATTGAGCTGACAAGAGTTTTAAGCTCTTCTTTCGTTATTACATGATGCCAGGAAACAATTATAGCCTCAATTAGTTCCCTTTTATTTGATGGGCATCTCATTCGAACAAGAGTTTTCAAACGGTGCTACAAATTTTCGATAGGATTGAGGTCAGGACTGTTTCCTGGCCATGACAACAATTTAATGCTCTTTGTACGAAACCACTCTTTCAATATTTTGGCCGTGTGGCAAGGAGCAGAATCCTGCTGAAAAATAAATGAAGCATTGTTGGGAAACAGATCTCTGATAGAAGGTAGAAGTTTTGGTTCTAGAATAGTGTCAATGTATTTTCTGGCATTCAGCGTCCCATTGATGACATGAAGGCGACGAATACCATCTGCTGACATGCATGACCAAATCATAAAACTAACTGGGTTCTTCACAGTTGCTTGAATGCAGTCAGGATGTAGCTTTTCTCCTATTCTATCTACGTCTTACATATTTTTGCCCATCACTACCAAATAACGATATCTTAGTTTCATCACTCCATATAACTTGTGACCACTGATCATCTGTCCAATTAATGTGTTCCTTTGCCCACTGCATTCTTTTTTTTTTTTTTTTTTTTTTTTTTTCGTTGCTGAAAATTAAAATAAGGCTTTTTTCATGGAATTCTACCTCTCAGTCCAACATCTGTTAATCTTTTCCTGATTGTTCTTGAACTGACAGAAACACCAGCGTCATTCAGATCACTTCTGATCGCCCCTGATGACATTTTTCTATCTTGGAGACATAGTCTTTTTTTTCTTCTGTCATCAGTAGATGTGGTGCACCTTTTTCGGCCTTTTCCTTCTTTGTTTTTTTTATTGAAATTTGTCTCATGATATCGTAAACAAAACTTTCGGACTCCAGATGTAGTCACTGAACCACCCACCTGTCTTGCAATTTCAGCATAGGAAAGACCACTTTCTCGTAACACAATAATATTACATCTCTTTCTAGGTGTCCAATATACTCTTTTATTTGATGTCATTGTTTCTTGACTAATATTAAAAATTTTTACAAAAATTCCTACTTGTAATTGCAGTGTATAGGAAACAGGTCCTCCCTCTACAGAACAAAGCAAAATAATGAATTGTTTCAAGTGTAAACATGATGTCAGCTTCTACTGGCAGTTACTAACATTTGATTGATTCTCAGAACAAGAACAGTGATTGGCCAGGAAAGCTAGACATTACAAACCACTTCATAACTGTGTTTTTTATTTATATTAAAATACATATAACTTTTTTTGTATTGCAAATAATTGAGTTTTGTGTTTTGTATTGAATTCAGTAATAAATTCTCTTTAAAATGATATATACAAGTTTCCATTTCGCAAAACGTAACATTTTCTATAAGCATACAAAGTTCAAAAACAAAAAATTTCCAAAAGTGTCCACAATTTTCCCCACCACTGTATTTATCATATGATTAGAACTTTTATTATAGGTTAGTGTTATTTAGTGTAGGCTATTTTTTGGTAAGAGAACATTAAAAAAATTATCTAATATAAATAAATGACAAATGTTCATAAGATAATTTTTAGCAACAATCTATTATAATGCAAATTTTTATCCTACATGAAAGAATAACAAAATATTCAATTAAAAATTACTCTGTGCATGAAAGTATAAAGCTGTTTAGGCAATGTATCAACAGCATGGAAAGTATAAGGAAAGGGACCAATTTATTTTCACTTTTCACAAAAATGATGCTGTTCTTGTCCCTTTATTAATACAGCATGCTACAATCAAACCTGATCACCTATCATCATGTTTTACACAGATCGCGTGCATGATCACTGTCATTGCGTGTTGGATATGCAAGGTAATGAATTTGAACTAACAATAGATGGTGTGGCACATATGGAATGCCTATCTAGAAAATACACTGCTCTCCAAAACTTAAGGAACAGCATGTCTAATCTGAGATTGAAGCAACTTACAAACAAAAAATTTAGAAGACATGTTCACTAAACAGTTCTTTAATCAATGTGATATAGAATGTTTCTAAAGTTCAACACAAACATGAATTAGAACAAAAAATTGCACTTTTGACAGAGAAATTCGGTCTTGGAGAAACAGTATATTGCAGTTTTTTGAGAAATAATGGGATGGTGACATTATAAAATTGGATACTAATAAGGAATGTGCCCACCCATAGCTGCAATACATTAGCAGCAGTAATGTTCCATGCTGTCAATTAAGTTGTCAGTCAGTGAAATGGGAAGCAACGACCAGACACAGAATAATCCTTGTTCAAGCTCATACAGTGACCTTGGAAAAAGACTTAAACCAGCAACCTGCCTCCCAATGTAGTCCCAAAGATGCTCTATCGGATTCATGTCTGGGGACTGAGCTGGCCATTCCATATACTTTATACCATGATCCTCAAGATATTCTTCAGCAAGCCAAGCTCGGTGCGGTCACACATTTTCATCCATCAGAAGAAATTCAGGACCAATAGCAGCAGCATATGGGCGGACATACTGATCGAGGATCTCAACTCAATATCTCACACCAGCCAAAGTCTGTTCCTCCATGGAACACATGCAGTGACCACTGAGAGAAATTCCAGCCCAAACCATTATTCCACCACTTCTGTAACTATTTCCACAATGTGGGATTGGTTGTATCTGGTGTGTTGTTACCTCCAGATCAGCTGACAACCTGAATCACTCTCCATTGTGAACCTGGACTCATCTGTGAAAAGAATAGAAGCCATTGTTGACTGGTCCAGGAGACGTGTTCTCTTCCCCAACATAAACAGGCACCTCTGTGTCCTCGTGTCAAGGGGACACAAATAACTGGTAATCCTGGCACCTGTATTGTGCCAGGTGTCTGCACACTGTAGTAGCTGATATTCATGTTCCTGTTACCACTAAATGATCTGCCGAGTTGAGGCACAGTAATGTTTTCCTCCTTCGGGCAGAAAGAACTAAATAACAGGTCTCCCACACGTTATAATTCTAGGTCTGACTGGAACCACAGAATCCTCAGATTCAGACTTATTCCAAAGTTGGTGGACCACACTAACAGAGAGATTGAGATGTCTAGCAGCATCAGCTTGTGACATCCCCACTTCCATCCATCCGATCGCCCGCTACCTCGACGAATCGGGCAAACGACTTATCTTGGATATTGATAGATTCTCCTGAATATTGTCCACAAAAACGTAATACCAATTGAAGATCAACACTCGTGAACAAAAATTACAATTTTTGCATTTTTTCTCCAACTCCTATATAAGTATCCATTTTTATAACATAAAAATGGTAGCTATTGTTTTTACACATATTTTCTTAAACTTCGTTATCGTCATGCATAAGAACTGCGAATTTAAACATTATTGATATTTTTGTAATGGTGAGCTTTGAAAAACATGCTGTTTCTTAACTTTTGGAATCAGTGTAGTTCAACAAGATAGTGACATTCTTGCAGAAATGTTTAAAACAAGAGCAACAAAGTGTTATGAGATATTTAATGAAAAGATGACACTGCTTTGGCCCCGCATTGTTATTTTTCGTCACTACCTCCCTGTTTTGGAAGTGGGTAATTTATGCACCTGCTGCCTTTCATGGATGTGATAAATATACAGGTGATTAATTTTAACCATATGCACTAATAGTATTGATAAAAGAATACATTTTAAAGCATTATATATTCATTTCTACCATTAAACTAACTAGTACAAAAATTCCAAGTCACTGAAATTTTTCTATAAGGAAGAAATTTTAAATGTCAACAGGGCTGCATTTTAAAATTATTCTCAATAACAGAACTACTTTCAAGGAAACAGCATATTTCATATATTTTATGATGTACATTCATAGACAGAAAATCAATACAAGGATGAGAATAACAATATTTTTTCGTAAAAAGTACTAGTACAGCATAATATATAAACATGATGAATAAACTGCTCACTTGTGCACTAGCATCATCAAAAAACTTTGTACTAATTTTCTTGCTGATGATCTGTGTTCGAACATAATCTTTAATAGCTAGGCATAATCTCATTTGTTCCAATATTAATTCTACTTTTTCTCTCCGATCCATAGAACCAAATGTTTCCACCTGGCAAAAAGAAATATTTTTAAATTTCAAACACACAAAATTTTTAATTTTAACAATTTTTAACATTTAAAAATTGCTTCGTGGATATTTTAAAATAAAATTAGTGATTATTTACAAAAAATAATAATACAGTCAAAAGTCTTTAATCCGGACTTATCAGGACTTCGGCGATTCTGGATTATCGATTTTTCCGAATTATAGATCATCAGTTTAAATCTGGTAAGATGGCATGCAGAAATTATCAAATTAAAAATATGAAACCGTAATTTATGAAATAAAGAACAATTATGATCTAAAGGGTATCAAAATTTACAAAAAAAAAGCTTAATATTTATTTGTTTACTTTATTAAACATTTCTTTCAATGTAAGTTGTTTAAGTTGCTTCGTTTTACGTGATAATACTTTTACTTATACTTACGTAATAATTCTATAAAAGGACATAATTTCTTCTTAATTCTATAATTCTATTATTATTCTATATCTTATTAATTCTATAAAAGGACATAATTAAAAGTCCCGCTGTTCAAGTCCTATAATTGCTGTGTCGAGAATACCAACTAATTTGTCAATCGAAATTTTTTCATTTTCAATAAACTCTGTGTCACTTTCTTCACTATCGGAAGCGAATTATAATGACGAGGAATTTGATTTAAATCATATAAAAGACGGAGTACATCGAGATGAAATACTACATTTAGTAAGGAATTATAAGCCAAATAAAATAAAAACATCGGCCCTGAAGATAAGGATAGTGCTGACAGATCAACTTCCAATTCATTGTGCGCCGCGGCGTCCCCCGCAGAGCAGCGTGAAATTGATAAACAGATTTCGGAATGCTTAGAGAAACAAAGGATATGCCTTTATCCATTTTTTTGCAGCAATTCCACTTTTTGTTTGACGGACATTGAAACATACTTTCACTTTGTAGATCCTTTGGCAGCTCCAGCATCGGAAATTCTATTTGACATAATCAAAAGTTCAAGCTTAATTTTATAAAATTGCTCTAACAGTCTGCAAAAAATAAGCCGGATCTAATTCGAAGATTAAGGAACAACACAATCTGCAACATTAACTGAAATAGATAATTAGATAAGTTTAGCTTAGCTTATACCGTCCGTTATACATTAAACGTGCATGCGTAAACGTATTATGCGCATGCATATGCGCTTGCGTAAAAGTATTATGCGCATGCGTGTCCGGATTAACGACTTTTGACTGTAATAATAAATTTTCTTTAATATATATAATTTAATATTGTAAATCTAATTAGCAAGAAAGGATAACTCAAAAATTACTTCCCAAGTTTAGCGCTCCATTAAACAAGAAGAAAAAGGTCATACAAATGCCAATCAAATCAAATTTTTATTTTAAGCTGCTTACATCAGAATATGATCTAACATAATATGTTTTTCCTGATAATGAATTGTCTTTTCCAATCTCAAGCCAAATCTTGTCACCCACTCAGAGAAAATCTGTTGAAACTGCAGAAATTTCATGCTCGAGTTTTCAGTTTCTACAGTGTCTACGGATTACTCATACTCTTTGTCTTTTAAAAGGCCCCACAAAAAAGAAATTAAATATTTGATGTCTGGGGAATGAGAAGGCTAATCCACTCAAATTCAAAAATGGTTTGAATAATCCAAAGCAACGATATTATCATCAAATCATTATTCAAAAAACTAAAAATGGATTTAGTGCAACACCACCTGCCATGAAACATTAATACTTGTCAGTTGCAAAATAAATTAAGACTTAAACTTGTTTGTTATGATTTTAAATTAATGAAATAAAAATTTGGGGTTGATCTTTACTGTACGGCACCCCTTGGTTTCTATCTGGAAAAGTCAGCAAGTGGTATTGGTTGCTCGTGAAATCTAGAAGCCTGCTGAGTTAAATATGTTTTTCGGTAACCCTAATGTTGATAATGTTGGCAAAACTAGAAAATTGGAAAGGAAGAGGGGAAAATAAGTTTTTATTTTATTTTTTTTATTTTTGTCTCTAAAAGGGGTTATTTCCGCGAATGTCATCAAACGTGTTATGGTAAATTTAGATTTGGACTATTTTTTGTAATAGTAACCCTTTCATATGAACCCGGGTTTGGTTTTCAGTTGCTGTGTTTCCTTGCATGTGCGTGGTATGGTCTTGAATTTTTAATTTGCTATTATTTTGCTGTGGATACTATCATTTGAATATGTCTGAGGTGGGTAAGAGTATGAATAATGATTAGCAGCGGATGAGCAAAAGTGTCAAAAATTTAATTGAATTGTTTATGTAGAGGATGGAGGATATGGTGGTGGGAAGCGTAAACATATGCATGTGAAAAAAAGGTATGCTAAAAAATTGACATTTCATTTATTTATTCATCTCTGTGCATTAACTTTTGTTAAAAGATTTGTTGTTTAATGATTTTATCTTAGGAAATATGTATTTTTGGTTATTCATTTACTCTGTTTGTGTATTTTTGGTTATTTGTTCGTCTCTTGAGTGTTAAGACAGCAGCGAATTTTTCTGGTTAACATGATAGTTTTAACTTTGTTCTAGCTTCCTGATTTTGTTAAATTTAAAATAGGTTGATGTGTACATGGACAAAGTTAAGGCAGTGTGCAATGCCTATTTAGTGCATTTCTCTGATTTTTTCTTTTAAATAGGTTGATGTATACATGGACACTGAATTTGTACAAGTCTTTGACTTCTTGTTTTGGTTTTGTGTAGCAGACAGAAGGCTCGGCACCATCTTGAAATTAGTGCCGATCTTGGAGTCAAAAAAGAGATGATTCGCTAAGGGGTACCATAGAGTAAATTTTAACCAAATTTGGTTATTTCATGTTACAGTGACCTTAGTCAAAAACAGAAATTAGCATGTACTGGCAAGATTCAAACAGTTACCAATCTGTATGTAGTTTATGTTTTACATGTGTACAGAATTTGTTTCTTCAGTTAATGAAAGTTTTCAGTACTTAAATATTAACATAGCCACCTTTATGAAATATGGGAATTTTTCACAGATGAAAAGGTATAAATTACTTATCGGATGCAAGACAGTTTTCGCAACTTATTTTTTCAAGATTCTCAAAATATCAATCTTTATCATAAGCTGGCAAACTTTACATATGAAAAATATTTCAGCAATTTAAAATACATAGGATTACATGATACATTAAATAAAATAAAACACAAACTTTTCCAAATTTTTCTGCATTTTTTTCCTTTCTCCCCAAGTACACAGTGATCTCTTTTTTCGTTAAAAAAACATCAGAGAATTGCACAGACCCAGCATCATGCAAACCTTGGCAACACTGACTATCTACTAAATGCATCTCCTCATTGTCCTCTTTAGGAGATTTTATGACAAAATTCTGTATTCCTGAAGAAATGCAACTATATTTTCTTCCACTGTTGGTAAATTCCACAGGCACATATTTTAAAATTAAGTTTCAACAAAAAATATCAAGATTTGTTTAAAAAAACCTTGGAATTTGGAACAAAAAAAAGGCACCATCTATGGTAGTTGCAATAACACATAAGTACCTATTTTTTTGGTTTGCCACTGCTAAATTTACCATTTTTAATATTAGATATTATGAGGGCCAGCAAAATAGTGAACAAAAAGCACAGGCGTATAGTTCGCCATCACTTAGAGCCCTCCTTGGCATAGTTCATGTTCAGACATCATCTCAGCCATGATAAGCAAATAAATTATTAGCGGCAACTGCTTAACTGAGGGCATTAGAAAGTGTCTGTTAAAAATCAATTTCAGGTATGCTCCCATATGCTCTTATTTTAATAAATAACTTAAACTGTTTTTTATTTCAAATGGCAGATTATGAACAGTTACAGCAAGAAACAAGAACAACGAACATTGAATAGAGCAACACAATATAAAAAAAAAAAAAAGCTGTAACAGAGTCCCTTAATCTACAAAACTTACAAACCGTATCTACAAAACTACAAATCTTATAAATTGTATTATGTAAAATAAAAAATTCATTTTAAATTGCTTCTGCTATGTATCTATTAAATAAATTATGTATCGTTGATATTAAACAAAATGCTTGTGCATATGGGTAACCACTTGTTTTTCACCAAAGCAGAAATGTACCAATTCTCATTTTTTGCCAAGACCAATTTTAAATACTTCTGTGTTAACACAGAAATATTTAAAATTTTCTATAACAGTCATTCACTGTAAGAATTCTGTATATAAATGAATTTTAAGATCCATCAGCGATAATCAAATTCTTGGATACTTTATAATATTAGATTTATCAATAGGGTTGTTGCAACTATTTTAAGCTAAATATTCACGTTTACCTTAAGTACTCTCTTAGAATCAGATATTTTTAAATACAGGTAACCCTCATATAACATGGTAGATAGGTTCCTAGAAATGCTGTGTTGTGTGAAACCGCGTTGTACGAGATTCAGTGTTGTACTAGTATAAAAAGGGAGGTTACTTTCCGAAAACTTATTATAAACATTTTTTTTTAATTCTACATAAACAACTTAATTTTTATTAATCATATATATGTAGGATTAATAAAAATTAATCCTACATATGCACAAAACAAAAATATCACATATTTTAATTTAACACAACTTTAGTTTAATAAATTTCTTCGTTGTCACTGCTCAATATACTCAACCAGGAACGTTTTTTCAGTGGAATGAGATGACCTTCACTTTTAGAATTTCTTTCTTCATTTAAAGTTCTGGCATTTTCTTCCCTCTTTAAAAAATCTAATTCTATTTGCTTGCTAGTTCTTATTGCGTCAATGTAAATTTCTCGATATGGAGCTAGACAGTTTTGCAACTCTCTTTTGAATTTTCGGCTTATTTCAGTGGAAGGGTAGAAAAAATTATTCGAGATTTTCAGCTAAGCTTAGGCCTTCTTTTAATTTTTTTAACATTAAATTATTAACTGCGTTATCTTCATCAGTGCTAGTGTATTCAATCAATTTGATTTATGGCTTCGGATGCCATTTCCATTAAATCTGCTTCG